GTCAGTTCAAGTGTCCGTTCAGTCCGAAATTTACAGTGTTGCAGGAAAAACTTATCGTCACAGGACTGTGGACCACGGACTTAAGTATAAAATACGGACTAAACATTACAGACTGGGTAGAAAATGTGGACTGTGGACTAAATGCGGCCTACCGACTGCAGTCTGTGTTTTTTATTGGTGGGTCGTAACTAATTTTACATAAATATATAAATAAACGAGAACAAACCCTTTCGGGTGCACGTGCTTTGGATCAATTCATTCGTTTTTGCCCCTCCTGAAGGGAGGCCAATTTCACGTCTACGTAACAGCTAAGGCACAAAATGCCGTCCCTAGAAGTTTTGCTTTTTTAACATAACCGTGACCTACCAAAACTCGAACGCACTCTTAAATCTACGATTTCTAATAGTTTTCATTGTAGCAGAAATGCCTGGTCGGAGTGTCAGATCAGGCTAAGCTTTTACCTGTCAAAATCTCAAATTTACCGGACAATTGTCGTATGACCGACTGTTATTTGCAGGCTTGACAGTGATATGTTTTTTGATAATCATTAATTTTCTTTTAATAATTGCGAAAGGTACATTACTTCGACAAATTTTGGACGTTTAATTTTGGGACGCTTTGCTAGAACATAACTTAGTTAAATTTTCACCTACAAAACTTGAGTCAGGCTGGAAATTTATGGAATTGATCTGCATCACATGTATGTTCTCATAAAAGAAACAAAAATGTTCTTTTCAGGTGATAAAAAGAACAAGCAAATCCTAATTCAAGTTCTTGCTTCATCATGCATGTGATGGTGCTGTCCAACAAGAAAGTATGTACTTTATACTGTACTGTTAAAATTTCAGGCACTTACAAATTTCAGACGGTTATATTTTGGACATTTTTTGTCCGAAATTAACGTTGTCTGAAATTCTTTGCAAGCAATGTATATGCAAACTATTTAAATTTCATGTTGTCGTAATAAGGAGGGTAATGAGTAGAGAAGAGTCTTCATTTCATTAAGATGTCCCCAAGTTCAGAGGATTTTAAGTTGCTCATTTCAAGCCTATTTATTCCTGGGTCAATATGATTCCTTGGAATGAATCAGAATTTCTTGCGTCTGGCTTCAGAGTTAATGTCTGGTTCGGAATCATTTATCCCAACAAGGAACATCATTGCCTGGCTCATGGCCAACGTTCTTGATTGATTGCTCAGGGAATTAGTTTGTTTTGGTGGGGTAGAAATGTTTGGGCAATCCTTTAGGAAGTTGTGAAATTCTTAAGACTCTGGAACAAAATTTTAAGAGAAAAGAATTATTTGCACATTGATTTTATGCAAGTTTAGCAAATGTCATGTACTAAATACTTACTAGTTACATATTGGATTTGCAGGCAGGTTATTAGCTGTAGACATAGATCACAGGATCAAGGACCGGGGACCCAGGACCGGGGATCCAGGACAGAGGAGCCAGGACACACGAGCCAGGACAGTGGAGCCAGGACACAGGAGCCAGGACAGAGGAGCCAGGACAGAGAAGCCAGGACAGAGAAGCCAGTACAGAGGAGCCAGGACTCAGAACAAAGGATCAAGGAGCAAGAATAGGACTGAGGACTGACAGCTGGGGATCAAGGAGAGTGGATGAAAGCAAACTTTGAATGACAAACTTTCATAAGTTGAATTATACTGATATTTTAAGGTATATGAGATATTACTGGCAACAGAGATTGCACAGTGCACCTTGCCCCGAGGGTTTTAACTAAAAATACAAGTTGTCCTTCTCGGGAAAGATGCAGAGAACACGTTTAAAAAGGAAGTTAAATTCAGGCACCTGAATGACATGGGGATGTGCAGGGTAGGACTGGAGATTCATTTCAAGGAGTCTGAGGGCTGCTCTGCTCATCAGACAGTTTCCCGACAACACAAGAAGCATTTGTTCAATTGCTGGTTTTGTGGCGGTTGTGTGGTCGTCCAAAGAGAATAATAAAGCATTTAGATCATACAACCCTAAGCACCACAGGAACAGCTAAAAAATAGCAAACGTTAGTATCAACAACGCAGAGAAAAGTAGATACTCAAACAAGATTTTCTCTCAATTTTACACCGCAAATTAACTTTTGTGGAGAAATTTAGCATTAAAACTGTAGTAGAACTACCAGAACTGTTTTCAAAAACCCCACAGATTGTTGTAAAAGAAGCCTGAAAAAATCCATTTGTCTCCTTTTCGTTTATTTGTCGTTTTTCTATTAAGAATTAATTACTAGCAAAGTGAGCATCCACCCCTTT